TGAAGTCATCCTTGAATCCTCTTTTCCCTCACCTCACCCCATACGCGGTCCATCAGAGGGCCTGTCAAGGTCACCAACACTTCTCTCAAATGCATCCACTTCTGCCCACCTCCTCTACCACCGTGGCTCCGAACACCACCATCTCCCACGTGAGCTACTGTGGCAGACTCCCCTGTCACCGACTCCCTTTTCCTACCCCTTCCAGGCCACGCTGCACACACCACCAGGCCCTGACCCTGCCTTGGGAGCCCCTGTATCCTCTGGCTCCAGTCTGCCTCTCCGGTGTCCTCTCCCCTTGCTTACTCTAGCCTAATTACACTGGCTTTTCAGCATTTCTAAGCCATGCTCTGGTAAATTAAAGATGGCTGCAAATTCTTTGCATATCCCTCTGCCACACCAATTGAGAAATGGAGTTTAATCCCCCTACCCTTGATGTGGGATAATCTGCCAAGATTCTTCCTCAGAACCCTGACACCTGCCTCCCTTCCCTAGTGCCCGACATGCTACTCCCTGGAATACCTAGACTACTCTTCCCACGCTCCTACCTAGTACTTCCTTCTTATCCTTCAGCTTAAATGCTCTTCAGAGAGGGCCCTTCCAGACCACCTCAGTGAAAAGTAAAAAAATATCAAGGCGAGACCTATATCAATCTTTTATTTCCTTCTTAACGCTGCCATACATGAAACAAGTAAATAGGCAATATAATTAAACTGACTACTTATCTTCCTCTCTAGAGCAAGCAATGGCACACTACTGCCCTCAGGCTGGACACCTCCTTTTACAAAGAAAGTTTTACTGCAACACAGCTCCGCCCATTATGTTCATCGATACTTATGAAATGATAAGAGTTGAGCAGATGCTACAAAGACAATGTAGCCCATGAAGCCTGAAATATTTGCCATTTTAGCCCTTTAACTCTGTAGAGCGTAAGAGCTATGGCTCTCTCATCCCTAGATCTCCAATACCTCAGAGTGTTTGTTGAAAAAACTGAAGGGCTTTGAGGCTTAGCTATAAGTGCTTCAGCTGTAAGCCAGGGCTAGACCAGGTCCCTTCGGATGTCCCGGATCTAAAGGGTCCTAGATGACAGCTTTGGAAGAGATACAGCAGGACTCATAAGTCTCAAGTCCAAGGTCAACCAAGGAGACCAAACCATTTCTCTCACCCCTTCCACTCAGTTTCATGAGAGGCCAGGAGGTTGGTTAGGACCCTCTACCACCTTTCGGGGGTATATCGCTTTTGCTAACACCCGGGCAAGGATGCAACCATTTTCAAGGGGAAAAAGGGTCCTCTGCTTCTCTGTCCTCCCCAGCAAGCATGGGCTGGACTAGACCCTGGAGAATAGCCATGTAGGAGTATGGGAAGAAATGTTGCCCTGGTTCAGAAGCTCCTCTCCAACATGGAGATGGCTCTGGTGACAAGCCAGGCCCCACATGTGCCACGTCCTGTTAAACTGCACATGGGGGTTATGGGGAGGAGTGAGCTTGTGCGCAGGCACAGACTGTACATTCATATGTCTGCGGGCTGCCATGCCATGTGTGTACAAACGTACGGAGAGGAGGCAGGCTCTGAGAATGTGCCAGGTCCCTGAGATGAGCTGCAGATTTTTGTTCCAGATGTTGAGTTACTGTGGGGGGGGGGGGGGGGGGGGGGGCTCTGCTCAAACATACTGCACATACTTCTCTTTTTAATCTGTTATCATCTGTCAGGCCCAGGGCCAGAAGAGAAAGCTTTCCCTGTTCCTGCCTCCCTTCCCCAATACCAAGGTCCTCATCTCAGGTTCCGTGGGTCCACGAAGGGCTGCCTCTAGCGAGGTAAGGAGATCTTACGGGCTGTAAGAGAGCCGGATTCCACCAGTTCTAAATCCTGGATGGCTTCCAGCAGCTGCTCCCGTGCAGTTCCAATAAAGGAATTCTCCAGGAAGGCAGGCAGGCCTCCCACACCATCCCGCAGGGTATACAGGGGCACACGTACTAGGCCTAGCACCTGTGAAAGGAAGGAGACAGGTGACAATGAGACAGGTAGCTCATCCTAGACAGATCTTTCCAGCTCAGAGGTCTCACCTCTTATCAGTGCAGCAGAACCAAGCCTGAGGACTTATGCCTTATACCTAGTGCGCCCACCTCTCTACTGACAAAAGACCCAAGTCATGCTATTCAGCTTCAAAAATGCGAATCCTTCCTACATCACTAAACTTTTGGTGGCTCTTTGCCTCCAGGATGCATGCTTGCCCCTACACCAAGTAATTCTCAAAAATACACCAGACCAGTCATTTCAGCACCATTTAGCAACCTCTGAAAATGCAAATTCTCAGGTCCTTTTCTCTCTCCCCCACTGAACCAGAAATTCTGGAAGTGGGGCCAGTAAGAAGCCTCCCAGATGATTCTGATACCTGCCCAAGTTTGAGAACCATCTCCATACACAATCTGTCCCCCTACTCCCCTAGCCTAACGACAAAGGTTTCCCCACAAAGTATCAGGCCATTTCCCACCCAAGAAAATCACGGGCCAAGGGTGCAAGGCTTAGCCAAATCTATGGGGAGAAGAGAGAGTCTTGGATAGGTATGTTCCAAAATAACAACTGCAGACGTCAGTAAAAGGGGCAGACTACGCCTGCTGTGCCTAGTCAACCAGATGAAAGAAGCCCAAGGCCCCAGCTACTGCAGGAAAGTGGGGGAGCGGCTTTCGGGGGGCAGGGAGGCCATAGGGCTGGGGTTCCCGGGCCGGCCCCACCTCCAGCCCGTGGTCCTTGGCACGCGTGGCGCCCATCTCCACCGCAACCAGCTGCTCCAGCGTCAGGCGCTTGGCGTAGAAGTGGGCCACGACGTGCGGCCCGGACCCGGCGTGCGAGCTGCGGTAGTCGGCGCGCTCCACACGGAAGTCGGCCACGGCCTCGCCCAGCTCCTCGATCAGCTCGCGGTTCAGCCCGGCCTCCAGACTGGTGTCCTGCAAGTTGACGAGGCCGCCGGGGAAGCCGAGGCGCCCATCAAAGCGCATCTGCATCTGCGGGAGAGGGAAGCGGGGTTGCCCGGGCGCCCGGTCGGCGTCCCCGGGGGAGGGGGAGAGGGAGGGGACGGGGCGGGGCGCGTCCCCCCTCTCACCAGGACGGCGTAACGGAGCGGGATGCGGCCGAACAGCAGCGCCGGGTCTGGCGCGTAGAGCAGCGCGTGGCACGCGTGCCGCCAGCCAGGCCCCAGCGCCAGGGCCTGCTCCAACGGCAGCTTGCGGGCCCCAGCCATGGCCTGACGCTATCCCCGCCGCAGTCCCGAGGGCCCACGTGGGTGGGCGGGCCGGGCGGCCGCCAATGGGGGCGGGGCTTGCAGGCCCGGGGGGGGGGGCAGGTGACGGCCGTATCCGGATTGGGCCCCGGGAGGGGCGGGGCGGAGGCGTGGCCGGCGCCCTGGGCGCAAAGCTGGCGAGGAAGTAAAGCCTCAGTCACAGTGCCGGGCCTGAGGGGTATCCTGGCTGGCTGTCATTAGGGCCGAGGCCTGCGGCTGGAGGCGGCACGCGAGTCTGAGGGAACTGCATCTGATTTGGTTTGGGTGGCACTCGGAGACCGGAGCTGGGGCCGGGGCTACCGAGGCCGAGTTGGCTTTAGACACTTGGCCCGCCCTTGGACAGTGGGGATTGGAGAGGAGCGATGGGTGTTAACAGCTACCCTGCGTGGCGGAATTAGAGGGGACTCAGTGGAAGTTTGAACGTTGGGGGAGAGTTGTGCTAGGATGAGTTCAAAGTTTATGGCCTGGCCTGGGTGGTTGGTGGCGTATGGATGGATGGGTATCGTAGGACAGGGGTGGTCAAGAAGTGTGGTTCTAGACAGAAATTGCCAGTGGTGATAGGCAGCGGATAGGACAGGTAGGATAGGAAAGGATTGATGTGATTTTCAGGGGAAGAGTTAAGTGAGGAAAGAGCTGTGGGTGAAACCCTGTGGGCGCAGGAAGTGTCAGATTTAGAAGTGGATGATAAGGCTTTCGGGCTTTTACCCAGACACACTCAGACCCTTGAGCTGTGAAGGAAGGAACAGCCCATCCCCAGGGCAGGGCACTACTCTGGGCTTGATGCTGAGGAACTGGGATTCAGAATCCCTCACCCCAGACCACTCCTTCCCCACCTTTCTCAGGTCCTGTGCAGATAGATATAGCCTCTACAAGAGTCCGTGTTTATTACACAAAGGAAGGGAGGAGGCAGCTCCTTGAGAGGGCTTGAGCTTAAAGTCACAGCCTGTAAGTGACAGCACATGATAAGAAAGAGCCCACAAACCTGCACAGATGCAGGCTTGTGACCTTAGCAAGTCATTTAACTCAGATCCCTAGTTGCTCATCTGCTAAGTGTGGATGATACCAACCTTTTAGGGATAGTGAAATGTTTAAAGCACTAAGAACAGTGCCCAGCACAAAGTTAATGTAGCCATCCTTGGAGTCGAGGGTAGGTGCAAAGTGATGTGTCTAATATTAAAGACCTGTGGGTTGGACTTCAGCCAACATCAGGCCTCAGCATTTGGAGGGGAGAGGGAGTGTCCCTGGGATCATCTTTCCTAGCTTAGTCTTCTGAATAACGGCAGAGACGGCATCCACTAGTATCAGGCAACTGAACCAAGGTGATGAGACTGTAGGTGTGCCACAATTCATTAGCCTGTTGGAGTACTAGGGGGTTTGGAAATGGCCCCTGTTGCACATTAGAATCACCTTGCAAAAAGCTCGTGAAAACTGCCAATTCCAGGCAGACGCCTAAGACCAACTGAATCAGCATCTCTGGTGGTGGTTTTAAAATTTGATTCAGGTAACTACTAAGCAACCAGTGCCCTAACCCTTAACCCCTAACATTCCAAAGTTGACTTGCTTTTTCTCCTACATGGGCTTCCTTGATGGATTTAGGGTCAGGCATGCCCTTTCCAAGCTTCAGGCTATTTTTCTTTCCTGGTTCCTTGAGGAGGCTTTTAAAGATGGATTCAGCTATATCTAAGGCAATGTGGAAAACACTATGAAACCAAGGCAACAGCTATTAGAGAACTAATGGATGACTTTGGAGACCAGAGCTTTCTCAGGATGAATGTATATGGAAGCCCTCAAGACACACCCCCCACCCCACCCCCGCCTCGCCCCCTCCACACACACACACACACACACACACACACACACACACACACACACAACCTTGTCATCCCTTTCCAAACTGCTCCCTGCCTCTGCTGGTGAGTGCAGTCTCCATCCCCTTCCCCCATTCCACCCTCCTGAGGCAGATTGTCCAGGGGTCAAGGCTGGAGGTAGATAGCTGAGAGCAATTCCATGTCCCTCAAGAGCTACTCCCAAGTTCAATAATGGCACTCAAAACTAAAAATAAATCAGTGGTCAGCCTCAGAAGATGCTAAAGAATGAATTCATTTGAAAAATAATCAGGAGGAAGGGGTGGGAGGGCTAGGCAAAATAGGTGAAGGGGATTTAGAGGTACAAAACTTGCGATTATAAAATATAGTTAAGTCATGGAGATGCAAAGTACAGCATAGGGAATATAGGCAATGGTATTGTATTAACACTGTATGATGACAGATGGTGACTGCACTTACCACGGTGAGTGCTGAGTAATGTATAGACTTGTCAAATCACTATGTTGTACACCTGAAACTAATATAACGTTGTACATCAACTATACTTCAATACTAAAAATTAAAAAAAAATTCTGAAATTTAAAATTTAATAAGTACATTTTTTACTTATTTTAAATGAAGCCTGAGGTTCCCAAGCAGTGCACCATACTGACTTTCAGGGGCATTGAGAGATATTTTAAATTTCCTGAGAAACGTAGCAGTCTCTTTCAGACATCAAGAGCAGTACTAGCTTCCGTTCAATGATTAGATTCGACAGTAGATGGCTACGTCCTTTTTGATGATGTCCTATCTTTGTGAAGCTGGGTTTTTAGCAGTTGTGATGAGAAGCAAATATGAGATGAGAAAATCAGTGTGGAACAGGGAATGAGGGTTTGAGATGGTAGATGGTGACAAACAGGTGCCATGTTGTTAGGATATAACACTTATTAAGATGTTTGGATCTAACCATTTAGCAAATGACATTGTTAGCTATTTCTTTTGGCTTAAGGGGACCGTGAAAAATTTATGGACACCCTAAATTACAGAGAACTGAGAAATTTTGGGAGTCTCTGAGATAATCAATCCATTAATTCAATAAATAGTATTTGAATCCTGAAATAATAATAATAAGGAGGAGGAAGAGGAGGAAGAGAAGCATTTATCCTGTTTTTTTTAATATGGGCTGTCCCTCGGGACTCCCAAATAGTTGATAAGGGCAAGTTTATGTAGGGTATTCTAGTCAAAGAAAAAAAGATAGAGCCAATCATAATTTTACTATTTTTAAAACTTAGGTAATTGATAGTAGGAAATGATCATCAATGACTGCTAACATCACTAAAAGAAAATCGGATCTTACGTGCCTCACAATGGAAGAACGCACCACCTACTATGAAATATTCTTACCAAAAAACTGAATTTGAATCTAGATCTGATGACAATTTTATAAGAAATACAAAAGAACGTCTTTTTTAAATATCAGGAAGAAGCTAGGAAGATCCATGTGGTAGTGTATCAGAGCTGGAGACAGCAGTATGAATTTGTGTTTAGCTTAACTTGGATACAGATGATTACACATAGAAATAGTTATGGCTATGTGAATATACAAGGGTTCGTGTACACAAATGTCCTCACTCTGTCAGCTGACAGGGAGTAGAAGCAGTGGTACCCCAGTAGCAAAAAGCATGCCCAGAGCTTGATTACCAGTACCATTTTCCTTTTTTTATTAAAATTTTGAGTTTGTTTATGTATTTTGAGAGAGAGACAGAGAACACAAATGGGTGAAGAACAGAGATAGGAGAGAGAGAATCCCAAGCAGGCTTCACACTGTCAGCGCAGAGCCCAATGCAGGACTCAGACTCATGAACCATGAGATCATGACCTGAGCCGAAACCAAAAGTCAGATGCTTAACCGATTGAGACACCCAGGGGCCCCTCTTTTTTTTTTTTAATGTGTAATTTTGAGAGAAAGCAAGAGCATGGGCACACATGGGGAAGGGGCAGAGAGAGGGAGACAGAGGATCCGAACTGAGCTCTGTGCTAACAGCAGAGAGCCTGATGCAGGGCTCAAACTCATGAACTGCAAGATCATGACATGAGCTGAAGTCAGTCACTTAACTGACTAAGCCACCTAGGTGTCCCTCCAGTATCATTTTCTAATGAAAGGAACTAAGACTCCTTGGAAAAAAGGCTGATTCTAGCACTGGGACAAGAAATATACCTGATAGATACATGATAGACCTGGAGCATATTGTGATGCCAGAATTTTTTAATGAAAAGAAAAAAAAAAAACATATTGATGGGAGTATGTCAAAGTGACAGGGATACAGGAACCAATTAGAGTTCACAATGGCCAAAGCTGAAACAATTTGAGCAACAAAATAAAGTAGTATTGGATTGTAACCCAAATTATAAACTAATATCTAGCTATCTGATGTAAATAACACATAAGTAGGGGCACCTGTCTGGCTCAGCCGGTAGAGCATGCAACTCTTGATCTCAGGGTCCTGAGTTCAAGCCTCATGTTGGGTGTATAGTTTACTTAAAAAAAATAATGCATAAGTAAATGAGTGGAAAGAGACAAATTTCTCATGCAGAAGAATTTGAAATAATTTATATAGATACTCTGCCCTCCAGAAGGTGAGGCACAATTGCCCATTCCTCAAGTTTGGGTTGTGAATAATGACTTCCTTCCAAAGAGGACAGTAGGAAAAGGGGGCTGAAGAGCAATTTGGTAACTTTGAGGAGAAACCTGACAAACATTACTTTAGCCAGGTGATCAAGGTCAACATCAACAGTGATAAGTCATGTTGATGATATGCACCCTTGGTATGATGTGATGAACATGGTACTTACTGTTAGTTGTCTTCCTCCAAAAATGACATAACCCTGGTCTAATTGTGAGAAAAGCATTAAACCCCAGTGGAGGGACATGCTACCAAACACCTGCCCAGCACACCTCAAAACTGTTGTCACTGAATATGAGGAAAGTCTGAGAAACTGCCACAACAAAGGGGACCTTCAGGATTCATGATGTTTGAATGTAATAAAGTGGTATCCTGGATAGGATCCTGGATTAGAAAAAGGACATTAGATCAAAGCTAAGGAAATCTGAACAAAGTATGGACATTGATTAGTACTACTGTATTGAGGGGCACCTGG